TCTGGTCTGTGTCAGGAATTGTTCCTGCATCTAGGGATACAACTGGTGAACAAGACGGACCTAGCCCAGACCCTCAAGGGCTGATATGCCATTGCAGACTTAGAGAGGAAAAATTTCCAGTTTGGTACGATCATAGCTGTGGTGGGAGAAGCTGAAGGGCATCCAGGGCATGCCCCAACCCAGAGCTGTGGGTCAGAGAGGGCTCGTGGGGCTGCTGAGCGGAGGTCCAGACAGGCAGTAGGAATCAGCAGCCAGGAGAAGTGAGAAAGGAAGCACCCTGCAGGCAGAGGGAATAGCAAGAATCTGGAAACAGAGTCACCACGGGGGTAGGCTGGGGAACTGTACGTAGTTTTGGCAAGACTCAATAAGGAATATGCAATGAGAAGTGGAGAGAGCGGTCGAGAGAAGGAAGGTGGTCTCGATACAAAACCCAAACTTCCTGTCGTGCTTCATCAGGTCCTTCCATCTCTGATCTCTGCGGGTTCATCTCCTCCTCTTTGCTCCTTTCTCCCTCCAGCCAATCGTGCTAAGCTCCTTCTTATTCCTTAATATACCAAGTTCACTCTACCTCAGGGCCTTTGCACATGCATGGCTTCTTCCTGGAATGCTCAGAGCTTCAATGACATTCTCATCTTTAAGTGTCATCACCAGGACAGCTCCTGAGAGTACATCCCCTGACCCCTTAACCCCGTGTGGACATCCCAGTGCCTCTATGCTGATCCCCTGGATTGTTCTCAGTAACTTATGTGACATCCTCTTGCTTACTAGTTTGTCTGCCTCTTCTTACCATTTCCTCGACACTAGGGACATTATCTTTCTTATGCTGCATCTCCAGTAACTAGAATAGCTCTTAGTAACTGCCCAATAAAAAGATGCCAACCACGTGCAAAGGAATTGGATCCAGGACCATTGCAGGCTTTCCAGCTGGGCTGGGTTTACTCAGATTTCAGCTTCTCTCCTGACCTGTTAGTGTGGTTGTGAGGATTAAAGGCAAGAGGATACCCTTTATGGAAAGTAACTTTTTCTATAGCTTTAGTGAGGTTTATGCTACATATCATATGACTTATCTATTTCCAGTATGCAATCAGTGATTTGACATGTTGTACAATCATATCCTAGCTCAGTCTGAGAATATTTCATCATTCCAGGGAGATCCCTCGTGCCCATTAACTGAATCCCTATGCCCACCCTGGAAACCACTCATCTGCCTTCTGCCTCTGTCTTATCTAGACAATTCTCGCAAGTGGAATAATAGACACGTGACCTTTTACACGTGACTTCTTTCACTTAGCACCATGTCGTCAAGATTCATCCACATGGTAATATGGGTAATTTTTCCCTTTCTCTGCATGAATCATATTCCATTGTATGACTAGACCACAACTTGTTTATCCATCATCAGCTGATGGACATTTGGATCTGGTCCACTTTTCAGTCATTGTGACTAACGCTGCGTGGAAGTGCCTGCGTGAGAAGCAAGTTTGCGAGTCCCAGACACCAAGTATAGTGCTCAGCTTCCCAGAGTGGCTAGCCAGTCGTCCTCGCGGGCTGTGTGACTGTGGACAAGGGCCATCCCTCTCTGCTTGAGTCTCCCCATCATTCCAGAACAGAGCTTGGGCCCCTCCTGCCTGGATGTCATATGCTTCTTCCGCCTTCATGGGCGACCCAAGAGTGTGCCCAGGGGATGAAGAACACTGGGTGCTGGAACCAACAGCGGCCGTCCTGTGACAGCCACCAGAGCCAGCAATTAGAATGAGGAGAACTTGGCTCCAGCACCCCTAAGTCTTACTCTGGGCTCCCCCAACTGTCAGAGGAGACGCCCCTCTTCTCCAGGAGGACCAAAGACTCCTCCCCAAATTGGTGGACTCCAGGATCCAGAACCTCCTCGCTGGGAAGGAAATGAGACAACACCAAGCTCTGGTCTGGCTCCCGCTCTGTTCCCCAGGCTCCTGGAATCCTGCCCACACCCAGCTGGACTTAGAGCCGAGGAAGTTGGAAAAACAGGGACGCTGTTGGGGACCTGAGCTCAGGCCAAGAGATCTCAGGGTGTTGACTGGTGCCCCACCCTCGGGCATCCCAGACACCAAATCAACACTGTTCACTGGGGCTCAAAACTGTTTAGAAGATCCCTGCTGCCTCTGCTGGCCAGTGGGGGCCAGAGCTGGCCCTGATCCTCCAAAAACAAACAGTCTGGGGCTGGAGGTGGGAGTGGCAAGAAGTCGCCAAATGATAATTTACTAATGAAATACTTTCACCCCCAATTTAGAGATAAAATCATGGAAACTCAGCGGGAGTGATTTGTCCCCAGGCCGCAGGGCCAGGAGGAATATCAGGGAGACTCATGTCCAAGCCAAACCCAAAACCGCAGTTCGTGTGAGGCCATGGAGGAACAGAAAGCAGTAAAAGATGTCCCCAGGCCTTTAGTGAGCTCACGAAATTCTCTCTGCAACCCTGCAATGCAATGACCAAACCTCCCCCCAAAATTGCAGATGAGGAAACTGAGGCACGGGGCGGGGGGTCAGCTCAGGACATTTCCCCGGCCAGGAAACAGGGCCCTGACTCTTAGGCCCCCTGCTCTGGAGGAGGACACGGCTCTGTGAGCAGAACCCACGTCCCTCCCGCAGCTAGGCCCTCTCCCTATTTGACAGCAACACCCTGGGGAGAAGAGGGACTGAGCTCCAGCCCCCCCAACACTAGTCCTGAACTGCAGACTCCCACCCGTCAGGTCCAGGGGGGCCTCTGTCATCCATGGGCTGAGAGGAGGGGAGAAAGGCACATCCTCGGGTACAAAGGGACACCCGCCTTAGGATAACAGGCCCCAAATCCGTACAATAGCAGGGTGCATTATTCATGGGTCTGTTGGCAGAACATCAATTATGTGGGCCTTCCCTGGAGTTGTCCGGGTTAGAAACTGGAGCAGGCTTCCCCTGCCAGCCTCTGGGAGAATGGGAATGCCCGTTCTTAAAGGAACAGCCTCCCCAACAACCTCCTCTTCTCAGGCAGACTGGAGCAGGGATGGGGATCAGTGTGGTGGCCTGGGTCATAAAGTCACACCTGCCTGTGCCACCGGCTGGCTAGTGGTGCTGCGTGTGCAATCTCCTTTCCTTCTCTTCTGCAACATCAGACGCGCTGACTGTGGCTGTATCCCGGCAGCCAAGCTGGGTGTTATTGACATGTGGGCTAGGCATTCACTGCAGGGGCTGTCCTGGGTATTGTGGAATGTTTAGCAACATCCGTGGCCTCTCCACTACCACACACCAGTGGCAAACACCCCACCTCCAACTGTGACAACCAGAAATTTCTGCATATATTCACCTGGGCCTCAAAATCACCCCCGTTATAGTCACCCAGAAAATAGATCCCCCTCTAGGAACACTCCTGACCCTCCTATGGGAGCTCCCAAGTATACCACCATGTTCAGTCCCCAAAAATGCTGTTTATCTTAATGAATATTTAATATGTGTGTCCCTAGCAAGCAACACCAGCAGTTTTTACAAGTATTCTTCCCTAGGATAAGGCTAAAATAAAACAAAGAAGGTGAATGGGTTTTCTGCTTTGGGGGGTGGTTCTATTAAGGAAAGTGGAACAGGAGGGAAAGAGCGAACATTCACTACATGATGTGCATGTGGGGCAGAAGGAAACAATCATTTGTTTAGAGAGTGCACGATCTCATTAAGAACCAAGCAAAGAGATGCAAAATAGTTTCAGCTCTTTCTGGCTGAGGAACTCACAGGCTGCACCAGAGTTATCATTATGTCCTGTTTCCCAACCTGGGTGGTGGGTTCAAGAGACCTTGGGTGGGTCTTTGATTATGGTGCCTAAAACACTAAAACATAAATTAGATCCAATTTTGTTCGTATTAGATTACCTTACAAAACATGAACAACATTCCTGTTTTCCAGTGCACATAAAATCAAGAAAACAAATCTCAGAAGTCCTTTTTTTTTTTTAGAGATATGATGATAGGAAAAAATCAAGCTGGTAGAACAATCCAGATGGGGGGAAACCTGGATCATCAGATTCTTCTTTTCATCTTCTGAGCTGGTCGAGAGCGACACCACACTCTTTACTGTCTGTGGCATCTCTAGCCTAGCACAGTGCCTCCCCGGTAGAAGATGGCACAGCAAGCTCTCCTGTCCTGCCCGCTGCTCCTCTCAGCAATGTATTTCAGTCAGTCTGCCTGTTCTGCTCCCCACTCTATCTCTGGTGAACCCTCTCCGTCCCTCCCACCCTGTACCTCTGGCCTACACCCCAGTTCTTATATGCATAAGTAAATAATTTTTAAAAGATAAAGAACAATTACAATTGAGATGGGAAAAAATATATACAAAATGATATAAAAATAAACTTTTGTAATAATAAAAAAATAAAATAATAATAATAAAAAAAGATAAAGAACATACTAAGAATAATCCCTGCCTAAGCGGTAGTGATTTTTATGATCATGAGTATCATCTTCTGGAAAACAGTATCGCACGTGTAATGTTACGAGTTGGCAAACAATTGCTCACAGGGCAATTTCAGTGAGCTGCCTATTTTATAAGAAAAATTTTATTGGAACACAGTTATACCTTTTTACTCGTGTTTTATCAAGGCCACATCATGCCACAGCTGCAACTAACTGGTTGCCACAAAGAATTTATGGGCTTCAAAGTCTAAAATACTATCTAGTTTACAAACTCCTGAACTAGGTGATTAGCTTTAAATCATTTCAATCCTTTCAGCCTCTGCTTCCACCTCTGTACAATAAATGGATTTTAAGTGATTTTTTTTTAGCTCAAACATCTAGTCATCAAGTGGCTGGTGAGATGTGAAAATGTTCTCATATCTTGAGGGACATCCCGTAGACCCACAGTACTAAGATGATCATCCACACTGAGATGAAAAAATGCACAAAATGAAGAATGATGTAAAAAAAATTTTTAAATACAATTAAAAAAAAAAAAGATGATCATCCGTTTGGTGACTGAAAACTAAATTCCACTCTCTTTTCCTCACAGATCCTTGCCATAATTTCCATCATGTTTATCGTCCTCTCCACCATTGCTCTGTCACTCAACACGCTGCCTGAGCTACAGAGCCTGGACGAGTTTGGCCAGACCACAGACAACCCCCAGCTCGCCCACGTGGAGGCTGTATGCATTGCCTGGTTCACCATGGAGTACCTGCTGCGATTCCTCTCCTCACCCAAGAAATGGAAGTTCTTCAAGGGCCCGCTCAATGCCATTGACTTGTTGGCCATCCTACCATACTATGTTACCATCTTCCTCACTGAATCCAACAAGAGTGTGCTGCAGTTCCAGAATGTTCGCCGTGTGGTCCAGATCTTCCGCATCATGCGTATTCTCCGCATCCTTAAGCTAGCACGCCACTCTACTGGCCTCCAGTCCTTGGGCTTCACCCTACGGAGGAGTTACAATGAACTAGGCTTGCTCATCCTCTTCCTCGCCATGGGCATCATGATCTTCTCCAGCCTTGTCTTCTTTGCTGAGAAAGATGAGGATGACACCAAGTTCAAAAGCATTCCAGCCTCTTTCTGGTGGGCCACCATCACCATGACAACCGTTGGGTATGGAGACATCTACCCCAAGACTCTCTTAGGGAAAATTGTGGGGGGACTCTGCTGCATTGCAGGGGTCCTGGTGATTGCTCTTCCCATCCCCATCATTGTCAATAACTTCTCTGAGTTCTACAAGGAGCAGAAGAGGCAAGAAAAAGCAATCAAGCGGAGGGAGGCACTGGAGAGAGCCAAGAGAAATGGTAGCATCGTATCCATGAATATGAAGGATGCTTTTGCCCGAAGCATCGAAATGATGGACATTGTGGTGGAGAAAAATGGAGACAATATGGGTAAGAAGGAAAAAGTGCAGGATAACCACTTGTCTCCCAACAAATGGAAATGGACAAAGAGGACACTGTCGGAAACAAGCTCAAGTAAGTCGTTTGAAACCAAGGAGCAAGGATCCCCTGAGAAGGCCAGATCATCTTCCAGTCCTCAGCACCTAAATGTCCAGCAGCTGGAAGACATGTACAATAAGATGGCCAAGACCCAATCTCAACCCATCCTCAATACCAAGGAGTCAGCAACACAGAGCAAACCAAAGGAAGAACTTGAAATGGACAGCATCCCCAGCCCCATCGCCCCTCTGCCCGCTCGCACAGAAGGGGTCATTGACATGCGGAGCATGTCGAGCATCGACAGCTTCATCAGCTGCGCCACAGACTTTCCTGAAGGCACCAAATTCTCCCATAGCCCTCTGGCATCCCTGCCCAGCAAGACTGGGAGCAGGATGGCCCCAGAGGTAGGCTGGCAGGGAGCTCTGGGCACCAGTGGTGGTCGGTTCGTGGAGGCCAACCCCATCCCCGAGACCAGTCATCACTCTGCTTTCCTCATCGAGAGCCCCAAGAGTTCGATGAAGACTAACAACCCCTTGAAGCTCCGTGCACTTAAAGTCAATTTCATGGAGGGTGATCCCAGCCCACTGGTCCCCGTTCTGGGGATGTACCACGACCCTCTTAGGAACCGGGGGGGTGCTGCAGCTGCTGTTGCTGGACTGGAGTGTGCCACACTCTTGGATAGGCCTGTGCTGAGCCCAGAATCCTCCATCTATACCACAGCAAGTGCTAGGACACCCCCCCGGTCACCTGAGAAACACACAGCAATAGCGTTCAACTTCGAAGCAGGTATCCACCAGTACATTGACGCGGACACAGATGACGAGGGGCAGGTGCTCTATAGTGTGGACTCCAGCCCTCCCAAGAGCCTCCATGGGAGTGCCAGTCCCAAGTTCACCGTTGGGACAAGATCAGAGAAGAACCACTTTGAAAGTTCCCCCTTGCCCACCTCCCCTAAGTTCTTAAGGCAGAACTGTATTTATTCGACAGAAGCATTGACTGGAAAAGGCCCCAGTGGGCAGGAAAAGTGCAAACTCGAGAACCACATCTCCCCCGATGTCCGTGTGTTGCCGGGGGGAGGAGCCCATGGAAGCACACGAGATCAGGGCATCTGAGCTCCCCGACATGGTGGAGAGACTCGTGGCGAGGTCCAGCGAGGAATGCTGTTCAGCTCACCTGCCACAGAGCTTTTCTGCATGAACTCTGAAACAGAAAGGCTCTGCCAAGCCCCCAGAAAGGAGAGAGACTCCAAAGAAGGCTCCCCAAAACCTTGAGAGCCAGGACAGGTCCACCAGAATGAAGTTGGCCAAATCACCGGATATGGCGCCTCCTTGTAACAACTCTACTGCCCTCCTTGGGAGATGACCCGAGTAGGACTCCCAGCCACCACTACCACATGCTACACATAACCACCTGCACCCCATTCTTTTCTCATGGCTCGCCACCACAGGCTCAGTGGGTAACGTCTCCACCCCTTCTGGCTTCAGCTGGAGAAAGACACAGGAACAAATGGCTGGGTTGAAAGTGTGGGTTGACCGATCGGTATTGAGTGTTGCCTGGATGCCTCTAGGAACTCTTACCCATCACCTCCTGGGTTGAACCCACTATCGGATGGCTCCAGGGAACACTTGCGTCTTGGGGAAATTTTTACGCCATAAGCCACGATCCCAGTTCACAGCCCTTATTGCTCAAATGTCTTCATTGACTTCAGTATTCCGTGGTTGCAGAGATTTTATTTTGAGATATCACCAGGGTGAGTTGCACCACGTGTTCTCGATTCAAATTGCCCCCTGGCAATCTGGGCAGGGTTCAGAAGGTGGGCACTCCGCAGGCAGTATGAATTCTGAGCACTGTTTTAGGACTGTAGGAGGAAGACACTTTCTGTACATCGCTAGTGTAGACTCAAAAGATATGCAAGTGTCAAATATGCAAAAGATATAGCTTATTCAAAGAGACTGTATGTTCCTGAAGAACAGAATAAAATCCGATTTATTTTTACCTGCAAAAACAAAAGGAGAAAAGAAATCCCCAACGGCAATGCCCAGTTCAGACTTTTGAACACTGCCTGCGGTGGCAGGGAAAGCATCTACTATAATAGAAATTCTTTTTTGTTTCTGTGGTATTCAAGTTTAAACAAAAAGTAAAAATAAAAAAGCACTTTATGTTTTTCAAAATAGGTTCTACCAGGGACAGTGTCAACATCTTGCACTTTAAAACAAGCTCTATTTCCCGGGGGCCACTCGTTGGAGCTGCAGATAGGTGGTCGCTGTGTGCCCGTGTGGGCCACGTGGGGATGCTTTGCTGTATCGCTGCCCGCCATTCAGAGTCTCCTTCCCTGCCCCGTGAAGCTTCCCGTAAGCCCCTTGCATCAGGAAGAGTACCTGGCCCTTGAAGGGGGCCGCTCATACAGTCCCGTGTACAGGAACATCTCAGCAGACTGCAGTAGACGGTTGGGTGTTTTACTGTTCTCTTTCTTGTCAACCAGCTGTTGGTGTGTGTTCAGTGTCACTGTCTGTACTGCAAGCTCAGCTCTCCTTTCTGCAGCCATCAATGCAGCCAGTACAGACAAAAGCAATAAGTATCCGTGTGCATCATGAGTGGTGCGAGCGTTGGTCCTCCCATCCGAGCGTGGTGACTGGTGTTGGGCTGCCTGATTTCAGTCCAGCGGCACAATCCCCAGTTGAGTGACTTCGGGTTGAGCCACTGGTGAGCCCGAGGCTGTGCTGTGGGCTCATCTGTCAGTAGAGCTGGCACATTCTTGATCTGCCTGTCTTTAGCACAATGGAACGAAGTCATTCTCTTAATACAATGTTGATGGAGGATGTCCCGAGGACGGTAGTGTAGACGTGTTGATCCTCGACAGTGACAGGCATATGTGTGCCTGACGGAACAAAACATGGTTGGATTCGCCTGTTCTTCATCCCATATGTTGTCGGTCTGCCTGTTAGTGCCACCACCAGTAGGTTCATGATTATCACCAAGTCACTCTGCCCACCCTCGTCCCGTGGCAAGAGGCTGGGCCAGCTGTCACGGGTGTGATGACGGGAGTCCTTCCACCCCCTTCCAATGCTCTGCTGCCTACCCGTCCTCTTCATCCTGCTTGTCAGTGTCACGCAGGATCTCAGATCCCACCGAGGGCGACATGAGCGCCAAGTAGGTCAATTCTTTGGAGGGATCTTCAGGTCACTCTCTCATGGCAAATGCAAAGGGACTTAGGAGGCAGGAACAGCGTGAGGTCATCCTGGCTGAGTGGCACCCGAGAGGGAACAGCAGCACCTCTGGGCACTTGGCTGAGCACACAGCCCAGGCCGGGGTCCACGAGGAGTGGCCAGGAGTCAGTTCTTCCCAGGCCGCTCCTGTGTCTCATTCGTTTTCATCACCATTTCCATCCACCATCAGCACAAATGTGACAATTCAGGGAAAACAAATGCTTTTTGATAAAAGTCAATAGTTGTGATTTCCAATTCAGATATTTTTAGAGCTGACGCTATCTGTAAAAATTAATAATAATAATAATATAGTCTATTTTACATATCAGGAAAGTGAACATGTTTAAATATAGCCATATCTATTAAGAAGGAACTCACCACCCCTTCTTCAAATCGAAGCATTTCATTTGTTGGTTGAAGCAGACAAGAAGTGTACAGATTGGAAATGATTTCGTTCGTTCTTTCTTTCTTTTGTTTAAACAATAACCAATTGGTGCAACTCTCCTTGTAACCAAAGGCCCTTTCTGCCTTGTGTGGTCATGGGACCTCGCCCTTCAGTCCTCATGTATTTTTGTCTGACCTTAAAGTAGCATTTCACTGAGTCACTTTTGAAGGACGAATTCAGAAGTATCATTGAGAACCTACCTTTCAGGCTTAATAGCCAGAGTCCTATAGAGTTCTTATAGAAACAGAATAATTGAAACTCAGCATATACTATGCTTCGAAAGTGTCGTGTTTTGTTTCGGCTTCTTCTTTTACTTGTGTATGTGTCATGGGAAAATAGCTTTTACTCTGTGCCCCTTCCAAACAGAATATTCTAAATTTTCCCAGGCCCCCACCTGCCAAAAAGGAACCTACCCAGATCTTTACCATGTAAACGCCCTTCCTGGACATGTTCCGGGGACATCTCCCCGAGAGTCTCCCCGAGACGCTAAGCTTGAAGCTGAAGAAGAAGAAGAAGAAGAAGAAAGCCACAGTTTGGAGGCAAATGCTGCTTTAACTTGGTAGTCCATGGCCCACCCATTCCTGAACCAGCGAAAGCAGAAAAAAAACACAAGTCCACCCAAAGAAACAGAAGGGGACGTTAGTGGCAGAGTCACGCTCCGTCCCTGGGACGAATCCAGTGAAGCTCCTTGGGCCCGACCTGAGTTCAAGTCCCGCTATTACCAGAAAGGACAAGGAGCCGGGGGACTTCTGTATTCTGACCACAAGGCAGAGAGTGTGAGCAGCAGAGAGAGGTGGGCACACTGTGGAAAGACACTGTCTCCACCCTTTCATCTTGGGGTGAAGGAAAAAACCACAGGGCTTCGGTTCAGTCGACTTCTCAGTGCCTTCGTTAGGGATTTTATCTTAAGATCTTAAGCACACTTCCTGGGGAAAGATGAAAGAGGAGAGCACATTTGTGCCCATGAAGCCCCTTCCTAAAAGCATCGGGGGTCAAGAAAGAAGCAGCAGCAGGGGGAAAGAGCAAAACCCTGAGGAGGCCGCTCTGCACAGCCCACCCAGCCCTGGAGACCGCTGACGACACCGACGTCTTCACACCGACTCAGCTTCTCCTCCATTGCGTCTCTGTAACTGCAGCCTCATCCCTGCCCTCTCTCCTCTTCGGATCCACACTTCTAAGGAGAAGAAACAAAACAGTATTCTCTTCTGTAAGTCAGTGATGCGACATTGATGTTTGCTATCCAGCGTTTATTTCTGTCTTGTTCGAAGTCATGGCTGGAGTGTCTGGACACGGAAAGATTTAAGTTCACCACAGACAAGGGTCGCTAAAGCCAGGTCTCTATCTCATAGTTTCCTTCTTTCTCTGTCAACGTGTCCTAAGTAGTAGAACCCCGACTGCAGCCTCCAGTCACATAACTTGGAATTGAATGAGCGCATGCTCACACGCTTCCAGACCCGCTCTCTGGAAAAGGACTTTCTGTGGCTTCGAAGTTGGCAGGAGAGCGGAAGGGGCTCTTCGGAGCCCCCTAACAGGCCAGCCGAGACCCTTCAGCCCTGAGCTGAGGCTTCCTCGCCTCTCACTATTTACATGACAGCATCCGAATGCGTTCACTCAGCCAGGGGGACCCAAACCAGCCCTGACGACACCCAGAAATAAGAGTTACCTCTGCATTTTCTGTTGCCATTTTTCTGGCTCTAGAACTATCAGATGCGTGACTATGTCACATGATATCCACGCATCTCAGAATAGTCTATTTTTCTGTTTAGATACAATATAAATCTATGTATTTTTAGCAAATTTATAATAGGGCATTGAGTCTAATTTCTTCTTTTGTAATACAGAATAACATCTTAGGAGTTTTATTGTTGGTCATGCTCATAGCTGATCCAGTCTGGTCCTTTTCATTTTTTCCTATCGCCCCTTGAGCTGGTTTTTCTCCTCTTGCTTTTGATTCTGATATTCAGGACATGGGGAAAACTTGGGGGTTTGCCTCCCGCGGGCAGCTGTTTGCTGACCCTCGGCCTAGCATCTGCTGACACTGTCCCCTTGCTTGTTCCGTTTGTGTGTTTCTCCTGTTTGTTGCTCTAAGTATCCAGGGCTCAGATGCAGGAGCGGGACCAGCGGCATGGGCTCTGGAAATCAGGTTAGCACGGGGCCTGCTCAGTGCCTCCCCTACACCTCCCTTGGCCTGTAGGGGGCTGACTTTTCTCATCCCCAGAGATCTCAAAACCATGGAAGCAAACGCCACCCCCCCACCCCCACCCCAGGCCTGCATTTCGGAGGTCTGAAACACACCCGAGCCGCTCTCTGCTGGCCCAGCAGCCACCGCCCTGTGACACCAACTGACCCTGAAATCCGGAGCACTTCAAGTTCTTGCAAACCTGGTAGAACATGCTGACCTCAGATCTCATCAACTTTTCATCCATTCCTCATTTCGGTCCATTTCCAACAACCTCACCAAAGCCCTGTGCAAATAGAGACGCACGCAGGGGCTGCAGGACGTTTCCAGCTTCCACCACTCCTGGCCTCAGGGGGTGTCTGGACCGTCCTGATAATTAATTCCAGCAGGCATTTTCCAGCCTTGGATGGGCAGAGGAGACCTCGTGGAGCAGGATCTCAGCAGAAAGGGAGTCTCCATCCATCAACTCATGCAGGAGGGGGAAGATAGGCCAGACAACCTCCTGCTTGCACTCACTTAGGGGTTTGATCTCCTCTGCCTCCCTGTCAGTGTCAGAGCTCTGGCTTCTGTCCAGGTCAAACACAGGCACTAAGTGTGAACCCCCAGATGGCAATGAACCGTCCCCATGGATCCACCCCAGGAGGAAACCAACCCAAGTATGAATTTATTATTCAGAACCAAGACCCCAATCCTATTTCTCCCACCCCCAAATTCCTGGTAATCTGGTTGAAGCAGAGCCAAAAACAAGCAAGATTTTTTTAATTTAACTTTTGCACAAGAACAACATGAAAAATTGTCTCCCAGTAACTTGCGAGGTCTGCTGCCCAGATTAGCAAACGCCCTTGCTTGTCTGTGTCTGTTTTTATCTAGAAAGAATGTATCGTTTGGGTTTCTATCCACTCCCTCCGATACAATCTTCACCTGGAATTTCTCCTGAAAGCCCCAAATTGCCAACCTGAAGAAGCAGATTTTGAAGGAGCTCTGTTCTTTACACCACCTCTCACCTTTTCCCTAACTCTCCATTCTTCCTTGCAAAGATATGAAGCCACCCACAATGGGGTGGAGTGGGGGCAGTTCACATGCAGAAGAAACCAGCTGCCTGCAAGTTTCAGGAAGCTTTTTCATGTGAGACAAGTAGAGAGTCCATTTCAGCACAAAGTAAGGAAGCACTTCTGAGGGGGCCCGCCTTGCCATGGAACGTGCTGCCATGTTAGTAACAGGCTCCCTGGCTGGCACCCCTGGTATGTAGAGAGAGACTGGAGGTGTAGGAAGTGGACGTTACAGAGGAAGCTTGGCTTTGCATACAGCTGGACTAACAACCAGGGAAATCCTCTCATGGTCTCGCTCATTCTGTTGTGGTGTGTCTGTGTGTGTGTGCGTGCGTGTATGTTGAACATCTAGGCACAGATGTAAGCCCCTGAAGCAAAGGCAGGGACATAGTTAACAGGAACTCAAATTCTAAGATCTGGAGTGTTCAGAGGGGGTGTCATAGAGGAAGCTGGCTGCAGACACCCCTCTCCATCTGTCCCTCATCCTGAACACTTTAAATGGACCTTTGACCACCTAATAAACCCACCCCTTATGTCCTAGCAGGAGCCACACTGGGTGGGATGAGGCGCATGTCACCCTCCCCCAGGCCAGCCAAGGAGCCTTCCTGTCTCTGGATGGCCATCTCACGGTGCTTCGGCCCTTCTGCCAGACCCTGTACCCTCACAGGCCCGATGCTTTCTGTACAAGAGACACAATTACCTTTTCCTCACAAGCCAGCTGCCTAATGAACAAACTGCCTGGGCACTAGCAAATTGCACTGTTTCCAAAGGGCTTTTTTTTCTGGCAAATAAAAAAGGAAACCCACTCAAGACCTTGGTAAGTCTCCAGCCAGTGAAATAAGTTCAGAAGAGCCCAAAGAGGGGTGGCTGAGTTTGATAGCAAAACAAGGCTTTGGCTGCCCCAGGAAGATGCTGGCCCCTCGGCCACATCTCCAGCTCCTTCCCGAGTAGGCCTAGACACTGCATTCCCCAAGGGAAGCATTTGACAAAATAGGTTCTAATGGTCCCCCCAAAAGTGTTTGGTGGGTTTGAAGTAGGTGACACTATCCTCAGAGTGACCCCAAGTCCAGACAATTGCAGGTTGTTTCACTACAATGATAGATTTGGATGGAGAGACTGAGCAGCTGACTTCCTCCAGCACCAAAACAAAACAGAAACCCAGTTTCCAAATCTTCCTGCGATGGTCTGTCCTGCAGGAATAGCCCAAGTCAGTGACTGTCCTAACGAGGCGATTCTGGGAAAGGTGGTAACTCCCAGCTCTGGTCGCTCTCACCAGTGGTGCATGGTGCCTGTTCTCCCCGCCCCCCCTGAGCTACTCCAGGTTGGAGAGAAACAGGAAAGACAGAAGACGCCCAAAGGATGTGGGCTTCCCCAAGAAGCCAGGGGTGTTCACCAGGGTTTGGGGCTTTCTCTAGCCATGCTTGGCATTTTAAGCCGGCATGGTACATGGTGGGTGGGGAAGAGGAAGGTCAGCAGCTGCTGGACTTGGCAGCTGGTCCCTTTGCTGTCCAGTCCTAACCAAGGTCAAGGGCTGGGAACATTAGTCAGTGTACCAGAAACTCAGGGTTATCCCCCAGTACATATGCCTTGGCACATCGCGTTCGCCTAACCTGTGTTGCTTTGAGTGAGTAACTGCAAATGTTTAACCACTGAGTGAGGAAATGGATGAGTGAATGTGTGAATGAACAGGGGAGCTCACTAGTTCTTACAAGGCCTGAGTTCTGGGTAATTAGAGTGAGGGGAAATGGGGCACCCCTCCCACGGAAGCCTATAACAGCCAAGGCTGTCTTGGGCTCATTCTGGACCCAAGAGCTCATCCAGATCTGACACTTGTCCACCCTAAGGCCACCACCTTCTCAAAGCTACCCTTACAGGGGGCTTTGGGGGTGCCCTTCTTCCTACTCTCCTACCCTACATTTTCAGCCTCATGTTCCAGTGTAGCTCACATGGACCCCGTGGGGAGACCACAAAGTGGCTTTCCAGTGGCCAAAGCCAAGGGTCTGAAGTAAGGTTTCTCCTGGTCTGGGAACTGCTAGGGCAGGAATGCAGGAGCTGGCATGTGAAGCTGGATCGCGTTCCCTAAGCCGTGGGAGTCCAGCTGGAACAGAGCCAGCCTGCCCTCTGGCTTTTAGAATCCTCGGCATTCCTTTTTTTCTGAGCCCCAGTCCCCTCCGTGGTAGCATGCGCTCAAGTCCTATGAGCTGAGGTCCTCTGTCTCTCCCAGGAGCCCACAGTGTGAGGTTGGGGCTTTTCTGCCAGCCAAGCCATTCTGATCGCCCCACCCATGACGGGGGCCAAGCCAATCACATTAGCCATAAATGACCAATGTCCTTAGTCACTCTTTTCTTCGGGTCACATTCGTGGGTCCTGTTCACCTCTGGTCAGTTCATGTCTCTAGTCCTTCTTGTAAAGGTGAAAATGAGCATTGTGTACACACACACACACACACACGCACGCACACACACACACATGCACACACACAGAAGACAAACAAAAAAGAGTGTCTTTTTATGCATGTGATAAGATGACATTGTGACCTCCAGCTGCTGTCCTGTCTTGTAAAATACGTCCAAATGTTTAAGAATTTCTAAGGAAATGGTCCCTTAATGAAGTCTGCAGAGTTCAATAAAAAGGTATGGAGAAAACAAGCCTGGTAGAGTTTGTTTTATTTTCTGGAGGGCACAGGGAGGTAGGGGCATGAAGACCTGTAAGAGAGGATGAATCTGGGAGCCTGGGAACCTGGAGGGTCAGCACTAGCTTTGCCTAAAAGAGAAGAGGCATGAAAATAGAACTGACTTGTCACTCCGATATGCAAGCAGAGGTAACCCGACCCTTGCTGTGTTCATGGGTCAAAGTCCGGTCATTCAGTTGCATGTCAACCATGCCTAGAGAGTCTTTGATACCATAATGACTTTAATAGCGCTCATAAAAATGTCTCCCGATAGAAGTTATAACCTCAAATGCCTGCAGGAGTCAAGCAGGTAGCATAACATTGACTAAATGAAGATGGCGATTAAGAGACATAAGGGCGTGGTGTGAGTATAGCCAACTGGAGAACACACCGCTATCCAACTGGCCATTGTCACACAGACGCGTAGACTCAGATCTACAGAGTCTTTAAGAGAAGTCAGCAATCTGGATTTGTAGGAATAGCTCAACTGTTAGATGTTAGCAACTACTTCCAATTTGCTTTTAGTCCTGTCATAACCAGAGGAGACCCTTCTCTGGGCACACAGTAGCCCATCAGCTAACCATCTGTGATCTCAGCCATGGTTGCAGGGGCTTGTTGGTTTGGGTATTATCTATTTTGGTACAGTTATCTACTGCTGAGTAACAAACTACCCCAAAGTTTAGCAACTTGGAACATGTATCGCCCCATCGCATGGGTGGGTCAAGTGTTCTTGAACACCTTCCTTCGGGTGGTTCTGGCTGACGGTTTGTTGCGAGGTTGCAATCAAGAATTGAGACCTCAGCTGCATTCATCTGAAGACTTAACCAGGCGGGAGACCAGCTCCAGCACAGCTCAGAAAGCTGTTTCCTACCATGTGAACCTCTGCACCATTGTCACAGGAAGCCAGCTTTCCCCACATCAGTGATCCGAGCCAGAGAGGAAGGAAGAAGCAATGTTTCTGTGTCCAGTCTCAGAAATGAGACACCTTCGTGCCCCCCAAAGCCTGTTCATTCGCTCACTCTCCAGTGGAGGGCAATACCACCTCTTCAACGATATTCCAAAGAATTTGTGAGCATATTTGAAAACCAATACATCTCTAAACCCATTTAGGGAAAGAGCAGCTTCCAGACTTGAGAATTTCTAGTTCAGTTCAGAGGAGCATCTAGGCCATCACTGCCACCTAGTAAAAGAAGGATATGTCAAACCTCCAACCCCACCCCCCCACCACCACATAGTCTCAGAATGAAAGACCATCCTTTTAAAAATCTGATTGTATTTTCAATACGTTGGGGTTTCTCAGCCCCAGTATTCCTGACATTTGCGGTCAGGTGGTTTTCGCTATGGGGCCGTCCTGGGCCCCATGTTCGGCAGCTTCTCTGGTCTCCACCTACTGAACACCAAGAGCACTCTCACCCCACTTGTAACTTGCAAACGCCTCTCTAGTTATCACCAGTCGTCCCCAGCGGGGACAAAACCAACTCTGGTGGAGAACCGCTGGAAGAAGTACCACATCCAAAAGATACAGAAAAAGGGAAATTTGCCTCACACCCCGGACGCCAGCACCCTGACATGCCATGTAACCTTGCGCGAAAGGTCTGCAAACCCATTGTAGCATAAATGGATAAGCAGGCACGTGACACCACTGGTCTCATGGCTATCACCTGCTGCCTTGATGGTATTCATGCAGAGGTGCTTGGGAGCGTGGGTAGATTATGGCACCTGCTGCATGCTATCACGCATTGCAAGTGCTCACACCTGTGCCTAGGAAGGAGGAGCTAAAAGGCCCCCTGGGGGCGGGGCTGCGCACGTTGCGGTCTCCCTGCTGGCTGGCTCCCCCTGTTGCCGATTAAAACCTGTGACGATGATGCCAGGGCTCCAAAGCTCTTTTGGAAAAGTTGGAACTGAGAGTGATCCTCCCCAGCCCAGGTTGGTTGCACAACATTCATACACATATATGAGTGTGCCTGTGTCTACATGTGTGTGTGTTGCTGTCTTGTATTTATTTTATCCTACACAGAGAGGAACGCAGGTTGTACCCTTCTTTGCTTTTTTTTTTTTTTTTTTTTTTTGCATTTAGTATAACTTGGAAGTCATCAGGTATTAACCACGAGCAGCTTTTGTTGTAAGCTTCCAGCAATTTCTCTCAAGCACTATAACTGCTAATCTCCGGCAGCTGAGCCTTCGGGGATACCCCCGACTTTTGCCTTAACAAGTGGTGTGGAGGCCCTCCCTGGTGGCGCAGTGGGTTAAAGCACAGCATTGAGAATCTAAAGCTACTTCCGCATGAGTTCGATCCCCGCCTGCCCCGGAGGTGACCACAGGGCGCGGCAGACCTCTCCTGACCCGCCCGCTGCTCCCCTCAGCAGTGTACTTCGTCGATCTGCCTGTTCTGCTCCCTACTCTGACTCTGGTGAAGCCTCTTGCCACCCCTGAGTCTCTGGCCTGCACCCCAGTTCTGTATGCACAAATAAATAAATCTTAAAAAAAAAAAAAACAAGTGGTGTGGAAATGAACGTCCTGTGAGAAGCCCTGAGGACCCTGGCTTCAGAACAGACCTGGGTCTGGGCACCTCCCCGTGTTGCAACTCGGGGCCACTGTCTATTGCCTGGCGATGGCAGCGGCCTCCAGACAGTGCTCCCTGTTTCCACCCTGAGCCCTTTCAGACACTTCACCACAGTGGCCAAGGGATGCTGGCCAACGGCCGGGCTGATCACTTCTTGCACCGTCCAAGGCTTCCCACCACATTCTGAGTAAACTCCAAAGTCCCTGCTGTGGTCTGCAAGGCCACACACTGGGCTCTGCCTGCTTCTGTCACATACCCTCAGCCCCCCTTGGCCACAGGCTCCATGGTCACAGGCTTCTTCTCCGTTCCTCAGGTAGGTCCAGTGTGGGTTCACCCAAAGATGCTTTCCCTCTGCACCCCCCAACCCTCCCTAACCTCCTGTCCTATTACTCTGCCCCTCCCTGACTCCCCATCAGACACACTGGCTGCCAGTTTTCCATATACTCACATGCTTCCACCTCAGAGCTTCTGCACTGGCTATCCCCTCTACCTGGAACATCCTTCTGCACTGGCTGTCCCCTCTACCTGGAACATCCTTTCCAGGCTAGCCACATGGCTCGCTCCGTCACCCATTCAGGTACCACCTTCTTAAACCTTTATCTGACAGCCCTATTCATGACAACAGCCCTCACACACACTATCTACTCTGCTTTATTGCAGGCGGACAGTATTGTCCTGCAACATCACCATTAAAAATGGCCGCTGGGGTCTCCATGGTGGCCTAGAGCTTAAGTCTCAGCACTATCACCGTTGCGGCCTGAGTTCGATCCCCAGCCAAGGAGCCATCCCACATGCGCAGCAGACCTCTCTGTCTCTCCACTGCTTTAACGTTACAAGCAGCATCCACTTGTCCTTTTTTAAAAAGATTTATTTATTTATGCATATAAGAACTGGGGTGTAGGCCAGAGGTGCGGGGTGGTGGTAAGAGGATACACCAAGGACAGAGTGGGAAGCAGAACACGCAGCCAGACTCATAGGGCTTTGTTTTGTTTCTTCACCAGCTTTGTTTATTTTCCACCTATGAGAGAAATCATGCAGTGTTTGTCTGTCTCTTTCCAACTTATTTCATTTAGCATCATCCCTTCAAGGTCCACGCACGCCTCGAAGGATTCTGTTAGGGGAAATAAATCAGAAAGTGAAAGGTGTGGGGTGGCTGTGTTCATCTGTGGAATATAAATAACCAAAAACACTCACGGGCAAAATACAGTAGGAATCAATGTGGACTTGGTGAAAGAATTTAAAGGTTACCAGAGGGAATGAGGGAGTGGGTGGGGTGGAGGGAGATGGGGGGTAGTTTGTGGAGGATGAAGGGAACATGGGCCCATATGATAGAAGAGCCAAAATGAAACCCCAAAGTTAAAATTTTTTTAAATACTCATGATAGAAGTTCCATCCATGTTACATGTAAAGACAAGATGTCGTCAACCTTAGTTGCTGAAAAACCAGCATTTTTTTACATTGAAAGACCAGACTGGACCGACTAGAAGATGAGTGTGTGTAGCCCATAGACGTGGGGCACAGATGTGTGAAGCTTTCCAGGGTGCACCTGTGTGCTCCTGCCCGTCACAGAGCTAGAACTCTTCATCAAAAACACCTGAGAAGCAATAGCCTGAAGGAAGCAGGCCTGGCCTCGGCTCTGCTACACTGGGGAGTGGACATCCTTGTCCGTGGACATCCTTGTCCCCCGACACCCGCCTCTCCCACTGGGGCTCCCGTCAGCTCTGCTGCCCATGTGAACATCACACGGACCCAAGCTCAAAAAACGCTGCGCAGTCAGTGACTGTACAACCATCCTCGGAGAGAGGCGTGGGTGTGGCAATGCCCCAGTCCTGAGCTCATTGCCTGTCCGGGGACGTGACCTGGCCACAAACATCACGAGGAGCCAGCTGGAGGCATCGGGAGGTTCCAAGCTGCAAAGGCTTGGAGCTAATTCTACCCCTCAGGAGTCACTGTGAGAAACCAAATTCAGATATTTTTGTGCTTTTCTCTGTGCGTGTGAGTGTGTGAGATTTTTCTCATTTCCAATTCTGAGTATCAAAAGAGTCCGGGAGAAGAACTTAGAATCAGAAAAGCTATACTTCCAAGAGAATCTACTCTCCTGCCTTCCAAATGGAAGGGAATTTGACACTGTATTCAGACAAGAAGGAGCCAATGATTTGTCAGGCCATAAACTCTGTGCTAACAAACAGGACGTTGCAAAGGGGCAAGGTGGACTGTCCAGCCAAGGCTCAGTCTAGAGGTTCAGGAG